TCACTCCTGGCTGTTTATTGATGTCATGTGTTTTTACAAGGAAATGAGACCAAATGTAGGATGTAAACACAGCCTCATTAACCTGTCCTGGGCTGCTGCTCAGAAAGATTCCTATAGTTTTCATTGGGAGCTGTGCAGGTAGGCGTCTCTTTCATCCTTAGCCCAATGACCGATTTTAAAAGCTTTGTTTATTGTAGCTGCTGTGTTAAATATGGTTGTGGTTTCATTCTCAGTGTTTTACTATAGCCATGCGGTCACTGAGCTGCTCAGACTAACGTGCCTAAAGCCCTGCCCCATCCAAAACTCCATGGCTGGAAAACCCAGAGAAGCAGTCCAGAGCGGTGGCTTTCTCTCTGCATTTAACCTCAAGCATCATGGAGCTTCCATCTGCACCTCATTGCTTTTATAAACCTGTTCCAGGCTATAAGAGCTGCCTTAATTATCACTGGGCAGAAATATCACTGAACCTGTGAGTTTATGGTGTTAGTTAGCTGCTTCTGCTGTGGTACGACTCTGTTACATTGGGAAACAAATAAACCCTGGGCTGGATAGAAATGAAGCCTGTCTAAATAAAGCTGCTGACTGTGGTAAACTTGACACAACCAGAGACGTCTATTACATCAGATCATCATGTTCTCCATGTTCTACATTTTTACAGCAGATCTTCCAGTCTGTCAGCCTCCATCTGTCAACAGAGCTCTTATTCAAACAACCTTTGTCTGGATGTTGGGCCCGGTGGCTTGTTTCCACACATGTTGAGTCGTTTGCAGAGCAATTAGCATAACTCGCAGTAGATATTTATTCCAAACCAGAACTGACAGAAATGTTTGTCAGATCACCAGTTTTAGATGATGCATTGCTGATGATGATGTGTGATAAAACCCAATCAGCTGCAACATGTTTGTCCCTGCTGGACATCATGTTACCAACAAAGTTTCTGTTCTCAGATCAAACCTTCTGCTGGTCACCACAGTTCTTCTCTCATCATGATCCTGAATCAGGTCCATGATCACTTCCCAGTTTTCCATCAGATCCTCTATCGAAGAATTGAAAGGTGGCTATACTCTTAAATATCTAAGTAAAGGAAATGACGCACAGAGACACCTCCTGTTTGTTTTCATTCTCCACCAGTTTGTGGTTAATGGCATCACACTTCCTCCAATGAGTCCAGTGGAAGAACAAGAGTGAAGACGGATTTTTAATGCCTTCAAGGTCTGTGGTCTCCCCTCTAATCCGTCACTGTCGGCTGCAGCTTCATTGAAATCTGTTTCCTAGCTTCATCATGGGAAGATGGAGCCGTTTTGGAGGATGATATGAAGCTTCACTTTAATTTTTGGTCCTGGACTGAAGAGGCCCTGCAGACTGGAGTCTGATGTTCTGATCCCTTTGGACTGATTTCTGTGCAGAAGGAAGACAGATGGAGCAGAGGACGTCCCTGATGAGCGTCTGCTCATTGCAGTCATGAAGACACTGTGATTAGGGAGCGTTTAGGTCATTATGACAGCATCAGTGTGGGCTTTGTTGGTTGAAGCACACATGGGGAACATGTTCCATGTTTTTATAGCAGACAATGGAGGGTCTGTGGTGTAAATCTTTGACCTCTCAGAATCAACTCCAGTTTGAAACCAGTCATGTAAATGAGATGAAATCAAACTGCTGCTTCAGAAAACTTCACTCAGACTTTCTGAAATACGGAGCCACCTGTCTCTGGTTCTGTTTTTCTTGGGAAGGAGTCAAACAGAACTCCCTTCCAATTTAGGAAAGGAGTTTCCCATATTTGCCAAAACATGAAGTTTTGGCAAACATCAAGTCAAAGTTTGTCTCAGCATCTATTTATAAATCCATGTAGGAAGAACTAGATCCAGATGTGTGCTGGTTGACCTCTGACCTGAGCTTTTCTGAGATTTTTGTGGAAAATGAGTAGAGAGTGGGTGGGCCACAGACCCTGAAAAAGATCTAAGTGGGAATAAAAAGTGCTGAAATCAATTTCTCCATCCATGCTGTTTAGCTATAGTCATTGTTTAATCTGCTTCTGGTCGGTCTGATGGAGTCACATCTTCACTTTGATTTGATTCTACAATGAAACGAT